AGTTACGAAAAACTATATAGTACGTATAGTCACTGTGATTTTTATAAAGAAAAAAAGAAAATACAGTGTAGGTATAGCGGATGCCGTCACAATCGAAAGAAAATACCGAAAATATTCATAGTTCACACCACCTCCCATCCACAACAAAGAGTTGACATCGATTTCGTATTGCTGGAATATTCGGGAAAATTCGAAAAAGGAGTAAAACAAAGTGAATTATTTATAGGTCGTTTACCGTGACCAGGTCCATCCCCTATTCAGATGGGCCGTTCCTACCAAAGTGAATCTCTCTGAAAGGGCACGAAAAACTTCAACCCCTATAAGTGGAAGTGAATTGGCACTAACCCTTACCACGGTGTCGCCCCCACTTCCGGAAAAAGAAAGACTAACAATAGGTACGAGCCGAGGGTGAGAAAGTAAAAGAAAAGCGGATGAAGACGGAGCAACCTCATAGCCTGCGACAAAGAGCCCGGAAGCCAAGGACTTTCTTCGCACAACATTCATTTCCGAGGATCGACGAGGCATTGACAAAGCGTTTCCGGTCGTCCGGGTGACAAGGAAGTTGCATAATACCTGCCGGAGGGACAAAAGCGAGCGGAGGGACGTGGAGTTAAATTTAAATTTACGCCATTGTTCCGCGAGGGTTAATTTATCGTTTTCGTAGCGTAGGGTGAATGAGAGTAAGAAAAACCCTAGGAAACAGAACTAGGGAAAAAGACGAGTGTCGAGTTGATGAGAAATGACACGAGGTGTCAGACAGCTCCTAGAAAAGGAAACTTCGTCTACTAGCGCGCGAAAGATGGCTGCGCTTTTTGTCCTATTGCTATGTTTTTTCTTCAACCCTGACAATAAGAACTCCGGAAACGAGACAGCGATACCTTTAGCACCGTGAATTCTTAACGACAAAGACCCGCACTGAAAACCGCACAGAACTCGCGCGGTTATTCGCGACCGAGTGCAGCTTACGAGATCGATCCTACGAATCCAATTTATTTCTACTGGCGAGGATTTCTCGAGATATTACCTTTGCACTTAAAGGGTCTCCCACGTGTGGACAAATGACACGATCGGACCACGTGTGCTCGAAATGTTCCATTTAAAAAAAAAAAAAACAACCCTGGGAAAATGATACGAGCTCGAGTAATTTACTTTTCTTAATTCATTTCCCGTTCAAGGTATAACCACTGTAAAACATTTAGGAGGGAATCGTAAAAATTCTCAAGGGTAGTACACCAACCCCTAATGAGATATCGCACCTAAGAGAGAAAAGTTACGCAAACGATTTGTCACGATGAACTTTTCAATAAGTCCATCCTCCCAGCCCTGCGAGGAGCAGAGGGTGTCTGCTTGGTTTTATTCGTGGGCTGGATTTTATTCTTCGGTCGATTTAAAGCCAGGGGGTAGATACTTTGGAGTTCTATGCAATTCGTATCTTCGGGACGATTTGCTAAGTACCGCCAAGAGCGGGATTAACGTGCAATCGTCGCTTCTCTCGTGCGCCCAGTAGTGTATGTCAGGATGTGGTCGGACGGGCCAGGGTTCGATCAAAGGGCTGAAGGGTGGAACCAGCCACGATGGGGTGCAGCTTCTATAGTCTACATAGCCCGATCCTGCGATCCTGTTAAATTGCCCATGTACGAGCACTATACTAATCCCGGTGCATATATGAATTCATATGTATACCGGGTCACGTGACTGTTGCTGGATGCGATACGAAATATGAAATTTGATCCGACGCGAACATCGGAATTGGGTTCACAGGGTGCCTGTATAGTGTTATAGGTCTGTGTGTCGATGCATTGATTAGAATCCTTTTATATTTATGGGATATATATAGGGTCATCTGGAATTACCTTAGGAAGTCCAATTAGTAAATGGATCAATGTACCGGGTCTATAATTTAATTGCTGCTATTTCATTTGGCCGTACTTTAAGACTCGGTTCGAGTTCTGCGGGACGCAAAGTGATTCGTGGTAAAAGTCATTGAAGAAAAATATTGCACTTGCGCAAGCTGAACGTCTCGAAGCTTTTAGACGCGACATTAAGGAAACGCGTAAATAGAGCTTGGGTAAGAACCAGCCGAGAAATAACAGTCCCACCCGCTGTCCGAATGCGTTTGAACCTCCCCTGTCTCTGAGGGTAAAACCACGAAGCCAGACTGGAGTGGTCGTCGGTTGTACGAGCGGTGGAAAAGGAAGGTAAAAACGTAAAGAAAGTGAAGGAAGACGAGAAATCTGAAACATGGAGAAACCAAATCCGATAATTTCATAAGGCTGGAAAAAAACACTTCACGTGGACTTAGAACACCCTGAGGCGATGCTGAAGCAAGGAATGTGGGAAACAGTTGGCCGTAAGACGGAAAGGGGATGAAAGAGGGTGAAAACGGTTTATTTGACCAAGGGAGAGGGTCGCCGGTAGCCATCAGGCTCTACGGGAAGATTCTCGATCAGTGGTTCTCATTACGAGATCATTCTTAGCGCCGGCCCTGGCGACGAGTGAAGATATTCGCGAGAGGGTGCGGAAGGGGTTGAAAAAGAAAAATAGGGGAAAAAATAAAATAAGCGATACTCCTATGCCAAGACGGTTATATCGTGGGCCAATTTGGCAGGCGGGAGCGGTCGTGTGGTAGGGGTTGAAACTCCCTAGACATAAGGGTAGCTTCACCGAGAACCGTAACGAGAGGCTGGCGTCGATATATCAGCCCGACGATACGAATTTCCACGGGTTTTCCATTGTTGCGTTTATTTCGTTGGTCGTGCACTGAATCAACGTTTACAGGGCTGCCAACCGCCACAATGGGCGCCACGCGCGGTCTGCCATTCCCCGTACACATGGCTTCTTTTTTTTTCGTTATTTTTGAAAAATCCTTTCTTCGCTTACGCGAATGCTCCCTTGACGTTCTGCCGGAATTTCAGCCGCGAGTCGATAGAAAAATGGGAAAGGAATTTTTAGGACTTTTAATGGCATTTGTTCTTAAATTTTTTCATTCCCTTGTACCCCTTTACCTTATTTCAGCAACCCCTTGTTCAACATGCTCTCCCTTGTTGTCTATTCGTATCGATAAAATCCTGAACCCACTCTCGTCTAGCCACCCTCGGGGAATTTTCACTCGAAATCCAATATCAATGAAAAAGTATACACGGCGCCCGCTGGCTGAGATAAATATCGGCAAGGATTTCCATGTTCCACACGCGGACCCTAAGGGATGTATCTAGGAGGGACGCAAAGCCGAATTACTTCCGTTTGAACCGCTGGAGACTTAAAGCACTCTCACGTGTTTCCTCGGTTCGCCCCGTCTCGCCGATTCTCAACCCTCGTACAGCAGGGGAGGAAAAGACAGTGCTCGGAATCTCCTGCAGTCACCTTCGAATACACAGGATAAGGTTTCTCCCTTCCCAGAGCGCCACTCTCGAGTTTGCTTCATTGCTCCCCTCCCGAAAAAAAAAAAAATCGAAAAGAGAAAAAAATCCCAAACTCCTCGCTCCGTCGTTAAGGGGCTGCCAGGTGATAATGGATCTTCATTAGAACAGCTAAGGGTGTCGAACGAGGATCCGTGCGTAATCATTTCAAATGATTTATTGCATGAAAAATTCTCGTTTGTGAAAGAAATTTATCTCCCTCTGTGTGTACGTTAATTAGAAAAAAAAAAAAAAGAAATGTCAAACTCGACTATTCGATTCGTCGAATTTTTATAACCTTCCAATGTGTCCCGTGACACGTGACGCTGGTGGTGATTTAATACGTCGGATGAATCGCAGCGTCCGGGAACACGAGCGACACTAGCGCCAGCGGCAAACTCATTAATTAACAGCGAGAGGACGACTAAATAGCTGGAAATTGTTGGGCGCTACTGTGGACACGGAACTGGTCCATGGGCTTAAATGCCGGAAGGCCTCCGAGCCGTAGCTGGGGGATGATTTCGCACGAGGGTTGATATTACCGAGAAATTAGCCCGGACGACAGGGATGTTTCTCAGCTCGGCCAAAGTCCAGGTTCATCGAACTTCGGCACTTTTACTATATAAAATACTTTCGAACCAGGATCAAGGGACTCATCCTTGCGACTCCCTCGAAGGATCGTGATACGAATCGGAAGGAGTCGCCGCTGCGGTGTTTACAGACGCACCCCCCCCCCCCCC